GAAATTTCATTACATAATCCGTTAAAACAACAAATTTCATTAGTTTTTCCGTTAAACCAACAAATTTCGTTAAATAGGCACTTTTTATATATAGAAAGATATATATATATATAAAGTTTGAGAGCTTTTTGACATCATATGAGTTTATAGATTTTTATACATTGATTTTCACAATATTTTTTTTGATTAATAGTTTGAATATTTACAGAGACAGGTTGTCAACACTGCTGCCATCCAACAGTGTACATGTGCATAATTGTTCCAAATTATCAATCAAAGAGATTGTATTTGGACTATGAGAGTGTACCAACATTTAAATGAATCAATCAAATCAAGACAGTGGACATTATTTCTTGCCTAATTTCTTTGCCAAATTCCACGGGCCTTTGACAAGTGTCAACTGAGGAATACTTAATTGAAGAATAAATAGAAATATCTTGTTGGGGGTCCGTAAGAGACCGTCCCATGAGAATGTTTGCCAAATTTAATTATAAGTAAATATATATAGTTTGAATGTAAATTAAATCAAATTATTGGAGTTACTTATTTCTACTATTATTTTTCATATTCTTTGAAATTGTATATTTTTTTATTCAAAAATTAGAAAAAAAGACTATTATTTCCAATTATCAATACATATTTAGATGGAACACATAATTCATAAGCAAGTTTGACTCACTTATTGATTAATGAAGTCAAATATTGCCCCCGGGATATAGTTCAGTGGTGCAAAGGACATGAGTGATGTAGTCTCAGCTGAGCTGACAGCTATAATGTGAGGGTTTGATTCCTACCTTTTACAAGGTATGAAATTGAATTATTTGTGGAGAGCAGTATGACAGCTCTTGTATCCTAACTTGTTGAGGCATATCTCGCTATTTTCCTCCTCTAAAATGCTTTAGGGGCGGGCGGTGGGGGGCCCTCAAGATTGGGGTCCAACCAGCTATGTCAACGAGCCGAGTCCGAGCCGAATAAAAAAAGCTCGAGCCGAGCCCGATCTTTTTTGGGTCCGAGCCCAGCAAAGTCGGGCCAAAAAAATGAGACTCGGCCCGAGCCTGAGCGAATCGAGCCCGGGCCGAGTCGACTCAGGCTCGGGCCGAGTCGAGCCCTGGCCGAGTCGGCTCGGGTTTCTTGGATTATTTTTTATTTTTTTAATTGCTGCCTGCAAAATAGCTGCATGTTGCAGGCAGCAACAACTTACTTGCCTTTGTAGGCAGCTATCTCTTTAAAAAAAAATTTCATTTTAATTTTTTTAATATAATAATGGGCAGGCTCGCCCGGGTTACGGGCCGACTCGGGCTCGCCTTGAGCCTTGGCTCAGTTCCATCGAGCCCGAGCCGGGCCCGACTCAGACTTTTCTCGAGCCGACGAGTTTTTTAACCATCACTAGGTCCAACCTTTAATTAAGTCAAACATTATGGTGGGCCCGAGTTAGGTTGAAAGTTCCTAGTGGGTTTCTACTTGACATTCTTGACTATAAAAAACAACAAAAATTGGTATCCCTACAGAGTCGTGCTCAAGTTGCAAATAACAATCCTTTGTGGCAGTTAAACCAATTATGTCATGTCAAAGATGCTAGTACAATGAATTTACTAGCAAATTCGAAAGCTTTTAAAATCAAATCTCATTTTCCTAAATAATGACTCTAGATATAATTGAACATCACGACACTCGATACAAATTAAACATTCATTCATGATTTAGATGCGAATGAATCAAACTACGAATCTTTTTTATGGTGAATTTCTTCGTGCTGATCTTGTGACAGGAACGGCTAATATGATATCAATAAAAATGCTTGTCGATCTATTGTCACAAATGACATGATTAATCAATAACTTCATATTTATCTCGACTCGTTCAAATCTTTTGAGGAATTGGATCTTTTAAAGATGAAAATAATGCAAAACATACAAAGACTTGAATTAATTCTACTAACAAGATTAAGGCATGTTCTTTTTGTTGTTTTCTGGCCATTTTCAATTTTTAATTTTTGAAAATACTGAAAACACGTTTACTTACCTATTTTCAAAAACGAATTTCTAAAAACAAGTTTAAAATTTACAAAAAAAAAAACGAAAAACGTCAAAAAAAGTCGTTTGGCTGTTTTCAGTTAAAGCCAAATTAAAACTTCTTTTTTAAAAAAAAAAAAAACAATTTTTCAAAACGACAAAAAATATATATATATTTTCAACAATCTCAAAATGGACACTGAAAATACAAAACTCAAAATGAATTAAAAAATCAAAACACAAAACTGAAACGCGGAGAGAACAACCCCTTAATTTTTTAAGATTAACCCTTAAGACTTTAGAATTCAAAAATTCAAACAAGCATTTGAATTCTAAAAATTAGTATTCTCAAAACAATTTAAATTTCTGTTTTTGACGAGGTCGACTATTTAAGATGAAATTTAAAGATTCATTGCAAATGAAATAATTTTGAGGGCCGACCTTGACTTATATGCCATAGGTGAGACCCCCATAATATTTGATGCTTTGAATGATTTGAAGGTAAATTGCACTAAGCAGAATGGCGACTATACAAATTCATGTAATCAATTCTAAAATTATAAAAAAAGAGAGACAAAATTTTCATCGTAGTTGCTCCAATAATGCATGTTGACAAGCAATATTAGTAAAGGGATAGAATAATATATGAGGTGAGTCAGAATCAGAAAACCCAAAAAGAGAAAAAGTAAGGCATGTTGATGAGCAGTAAAGGGGAGGTCAAGATTGAAGCAATATTCTTTTTCTCTATCTACAATTAACCGCACAATGAGGAGCACAATAGAAATTTCAAGTGACCCATTAAAAATCATAATAATGCTTGCTTTTTATTTTTTATCTATTTTATCTTATCAGTTCTTCTACTCATATAATGCGGTTAGCAATGATGCTGTTTCTTGCCTTATGATGTCTGTCCCCAACATTTTACCGCAGAGATTGACTTGGTCTTCCAATAAATTACTCTTGCGCCTTCGACTTTTCCCTTTCTCACGGGTACTTGAAAGTTTAGAGTACAAAGTGGGAATGTACTAGCTAAAGTTTAGGAAGAGATGGGCCATATAAGTTTCTCACTACAACTTCGTAATCATGTCCGAGTCAAGAACGAATGCTATATTTTATCGAGTATCGAGATTCCATCAACATTGTTAAAAAGAATAATTTCAATCCGAGTGGTATTTATTATCTAAATGTTTAATTCAAGTTGCTCGACGTTTGCCTTGTGTTAGGTGCAAAAGTACGAATATTTTGTATTTATTGAGCAAAAGGGGGTTGTAATTGTATAGCGGTGTCTGAAAACATATCTTGAGAACGCCCTAAAGCGCTAGATGACATCTTTTTCAAATTGTCTAGCATGAACACGTAATATTTTAAGTGATTTCAACTTAAAAAAGATATTAAATTAAGTCGCGGTCTACAACGTGATTATCTATTAGCGTGGCCTTTAGTTTCCATAATTTCTTGACCTCGGATGTTGAAACTTACGTGTAGATTTTATTGTTAGTGGCCTTTCTAACAACTAGTGTATCATAACCCACACATATCTCATAATAATCGATTTAAAAAAATGTTTTTGATGCTTTTTATAATGGGCAACTTACAAAAATACCCTTAAATTTTGAGGTCTTTTGAAAAATCATATGAAAGATATTTTTAAAGTAAAAAATACTGTGTAAAATTATAAAAAGTGACGCAATCTTACTTTTTAAAGTTAAGTGTCAATTTTTTATATACAATATTACTTTTATTAAAAAGTAATGTTTTTTACTAAAAGAAGTTGTAGAAATTTTAAGAATGTGACATAAAGTAAAAATAAAAAAATAGTGACAACAATTAAAAAATTTGACAAAACACCAATTAAAACATTGAAATCAGTTCAATAAAGTAACTAAACTTTTCATTTAAGTCAATTAAACCAACATTGTTGAGAGATTCTTAAATCTCAATTCTACAAAGAGTCCTAAAAAAAGTAACAAAAAAGTCAATTTTTTATAAAAAAATTGTGTCACTTTTTAATTTTAAAAAAAAGTGAGACAATGTTACTTTTAAAAGTTAAGTGTCACTTTTTTATTAAAAAATGACATACAATATCACTTTTATTAAAAATTGATATTTTTCACTAAAAAAAGTGATAGAAATCAAGAAAGTGATTGAAAAAAATGACAAAATTAAAAAAAATAACGAATTCAAAAAAGTGGTACAAATTAAAAGAAGTCATACAGATTAAAAATTGACAGACATTCTCAGTCAAACATGCACAAATAACACCACTATAACAAGCAAACTTCCTGCTGTGAACTAGCAGGGATGGGAAGGTTATAGACGGGAAATAGCCCGGTATTTGTTCTTACACCCAAGTTGAAGATAAATAGAGGATGAGGTTTACTCCTTCATAATCTCATACTAATTTAGCTTACAGAACGAGACAAATGCATCAACCGCTTCAACCATAAAGCACCATCTAGGATTATTCTCATGCAATTGTACAGAAATTTTACAGTGACCAAATTGTGCATCAGAAAGCTCTTTATCGCAAGGATTGACCCCTAAGTTAAGGCTTAGGGGGTGGCGAGCTGTTGCTGCTGCTATTACTATGGCTCCTTCCTCTAATCGGACTGAAAGAACAAGCACAAATTATACAAGAAATGAGTAAGACAAAGCAACAAGCAATCCTCAAATAGAACCCAAATTTTTGAAAAAGCTGTCTTGATAAATGCTAATAATCACTAGAATAATTGCAATTAATGAAACCCATTTAACTTTCATAAAACAGAAACTTGTCAAGTTGTTCACGTTAAATGTATTTCATTCTCGGTTAAGAAAAATAATTCACAGCAAAAGATTTCACAAGGA